CTTATGATGGCTCAACAGGTGGCTGAATCAAACATTAACGCCTTCATAACAACACCAGACTGGAGAGCAGTATTCAACAGGTGGAGCATCAAACGCATAGAATAAATACATAAAAGTAAAGTAGTCATTCAAGAACAACAGTATAGGGATATATCTGAGTGAGGAAAGCATCTAAAATCACTGAGGAACATCCAGAGCTAAGGATCCATGAAGAAGGCAGCGCATGTCTCAGATCTCTCGCTTTTAAAATCCAGAAAACAACAAAGAGAGAGCAACAAGGGAAGATAGAAAAATATAAAGAATAAGAGTTTAAGTCAGCCAGAATTAAATTAATAATAGGATCAGTGAATTTAAGGTTTTATTTTGGGGGATTTTTATGCCTTTATGTAGAGAAAGGACCGTGGATGGAGTCAGAAATCAGGGAGAGAGAGTGGGGAGTGACCCACAGGTAGGACCCGAACCCGGGCTGCCCGTCTGGAGGGCTTTAGCCTCCGTACATGGGGCATGCACACTAACCACTAGAGTAGACGCCATCGTCCCCAGATTCAGTGATTTAGATTGTTGGTCAAATGTTCTTTGAGGAAACGTATGAGAGGAGTTTAATTACTGAAACTAAAACAAGTTTTCCACATTAGGACTGTAAGGGTGTATTTTGCACTGCACTCACTGGCAGACTGTGAATGACTTAAGTGGTGACAGAATATGACTAACAAGAAAAGATTGTTTTGGTTAACCGTCTAAACGCTCCGTCTGCAGTCAGTGTCCTCGTGCTATAAGAGGAGAAACGCTCAGAATGGATGAAAACGTTGTATTGGCTCATTTGAATCACCTTCAATTATAACTCTACACTCAATGCAATAAACTTCATGAGCAGCAGTAAAGAAGGGCTTCTGCAGCCCTGGGTTTTACCTCGCAGGATACAGAATATCAGACAGGCCAGGTCGCTGAGTGGTGGAGATTGTTGTGGGTGAAAATGAGCAGAACTATTAGGTACTGAAAATATAAAACCCCTAACTGAATCTTTATTTTGAAGAATCGAAAATGACACCTTGCATTTTACATGCATAGATGGACATTTTGAATTTGAAATAAATACAAATTGAGCGGAATTCAATGTTAAATGAAGATGTCTCTGCTGGTTCTCCGTCGTCCAGGTCATGGTCAATCGAAGCTTGCTCCAATAGGCAACTTCTCAAGATTTCTTAAGCCTGAAGATCTTAAAGACGTGTCACCTCTCCTCCGAAGGCTTCTTCATTTCTAAACTAAACTGGATGGAGGTCGGAGCTAGTTCTAGCTTCGATGTGAAATAAAGTCATTGATTTTGCTTTGGATTACAATATAGACTATTTTAGATTGAAGAGTCTCAGCTTCATACTGCAATTAAACCTACACCTTTGGAATTGACGCTTAAATGAAGGAATAATTGAAGGGGATATAATTAGGGGATAACCTGAGCAGTTAGGCTGCATGCAGGACTGTAACAAAAACAATCACATTGATTTGGATACTGTCAGATGACATCATAAATATCCTTACAAGTCTGATTCTCAGGTGTAAAAACTCGGACTGTTTTTGAACACGACTCTTGACTTGTTACTCAGCATATTTCTGACTAAGATTATTAACATCAAAGTGTAAAAGCAGAGGAGGGTAAATTAGGACCTATTTCTGGTGCCTGTAATGGCTGTGTGAGTTGCTGACTTTATAATCCCCTAACAAAAGGCTGCACATCATATTTAAACGATTGCTTTCGTGGCGGGGCTCATTGTGATTTAACGCACGCCCGCAGCGGGATGAGGTTCAAAGTGGCGCGAGGCTGCAGAGTCTCATCTGCGGCTCAGGGAGACGAGGCTGAGGTGACATTTGCGTCTCCCGGGTGGGCAGGTGGATCAGGGACGCTTGCTTGTGTCCTCTCCAATGTCGGCAAGATAGAGCAGATGTGTGCTTCCCTGCTACTGTACAGGCGGCTCAAGCAGCTCCATTCCCCCCCCCCCACACCTCCACCTCCCCCCTCAGGCCTCTACCACCATCACACACTAATGGTGTATTCGCCTGACTTGTAAATAGGGCCGACTGCTCTCATCTCACAGCCTTTCGTTTCAAATATTTATCCGTGCGCTGGTGAGCTAAATCGGCTCTGACAGTGAGACTGTTATTTAAGGTCGCAGACAGGCGGCTGGGTGAGAGAGAGAGGGAGAAAAAAAAAAAAAAGCATCCATCCCTCGCCCGCTGAAATGGGATTCATTTCCATGTGTTCATATTCTGTCATGGGTTTTTTTTTCTCTCTTCTTTTTCACTCTCAATAGCCACATCCGTCAGACTACCTCTGCTCCCTCTGCTACAAACAATGTATTAGTATCCCGGCCTCGCCTCAGCAGAGAGCCGGCGCTGAGAGAATTACTAGTGGACTGAAGGAAAAAACAACTGGAAAAAAAAAAAACATCCAGCACTGTAAATAAGCTCGGTCTGACTGCTGCAGAATTCATTCTGCGCTGACCTGGATTAATGCTGTTTATTCAGCTGAGCTTGAGCAGCAATGTAACTGGGTTGGCATAACATAAATTCACTCCCATTTCCTCAAAATAAAACACGGCTTTAGACTTTGTACTTTACTGTAAGCTATATTTACCCAAGACGCTCCTTGTTGTGAGTCAGAGACTGATGTTTTTTTTTTATGCCAAAATTTTACAAAACAACATTTTTTTTATCCTGTTGAGATTCTGGATGCAGATTTGTGAGGAGGAAAATAGTCAATGACAATTTGGGCTCAACATTTGAATACAAATTTAGACTTTCTGTGCAAGAAGAGAATGAAAACTTTGATATTTTCACGAGGACATGTAATTTAGGTTTCAAATATATGTCTAATAATATGAGAATCCAAAGTCCCCTCATCATTTGAATCCACCTCTCTCAGGTAAAATGAACCTTTTCCCCCCTCAAGTGAGAACCAGTGCTACGCCTGACTTACATGTTATGTTGAAAACACATGAACTTAAGCTGTTCTATTAAATTAAGTTCAACTTACTGGTGCAAATATACTGATGCACAATTAACGCGAGCCTTTAGGCCTCCAAAAAACACACAATGAAGGCATCATGGAAAACAAAAAGTTAACATGCTTCAGCACAGGGCCTCATTATCAAGGCGAAAACTAGGACGGCTACACCTTAAGGCTTTTATCACGTCACCGTTAATGTTCCTAAATACACAAAAAAAAGATAACATTTATTGTAATGCTACAATTTAACTACAACAAAGTGAATCAGAGCTGAGATTTTTGGACCCCAGGCAGATTGTAACTCGCCTGGCTATTATGGAATATACTAATAATACACTGACAGTCATATTATTGAGACTGTTTTCAAGCACAGGTCAGAGGTCATATGCAGAGCTCAAACAGCATGTATTAATGCTTTTTGTTCTTCTGTTTTGTTAGCACAAACCCAGTCTGTGGCATCACGCAGCATTCATGATCCAGACATTTATTCTCTTAACTGTTTTACAAATGATTTGAGTGATTAAAAATGTCTGAAACATATTTTTTCCAAATGACACTGATCCCCGTGACCCGACACTCTAAAGTTTCTTTTTATTTGGTGACCAACCCTCAATGTCAGTACGGATCCTTTCTGCACCGTCTGCCATGCTCTGTTAGCAGGAGAAGGACATTCAAGTGCGATATATTTTCTGAATTAAAAGGGACACATATGGTGATGCAAGTTCTCTGCAAACTCTTTTTTTTAAGCGAGAGCAACACGAGTTGAGTAATTTCCTGGCCAGAGATGCAGCTGCAGCACTTGGTGCACCTGAGGCTCTGATGCAAAAATGGCTTGGACCAGGGGACATGAATTATTGGAAGAGGGGAACTCATTGTAATGTTTCAGGCTTAAAACTTTAGAACTTTATTTTTATGGTACTGTCGGATCGTTACACTGTTTATCATTCATTGTGGACGGGTTTGGTAATGATAATCACCGTTGAAGGTGGCTGATCTAGAGGGCTCATGATGTGAGGATATCTGGTTTTTCTAACCCTCACCTGGTCTATAGACTGGATAGTGACTTCCACTCTATTGAGGCCGTGAGTGGCTGGCATAAGAACTACTGCCCTCACGTGTAAAACAAAGCCTCATGACATGGTTTGGACATCTCATTATGACATTTAATTACGATTACGGGTTACGATGACCATCTAATCTGCAATGCTACTCAAGTTTGCAGCCATAACCAGAACCTTGAGTAGGTGCTAGAAATGAAAGGTTTGCAGCTGAAGCCAATGGTAAAAGCTTTACAAGGTGTTCAGGCATAATGCTATTCTAAACCTGCCAACCATACCCATCATCAATGCGCTGTTTTAAAGCATATTATCAATACATAAAGTTATATCAGAGACTATACATATAACCTTATAGTGTGTGCTTTCTGCAGCAACAGCAAAGTAGCATCACAGAGTATAAAGAGAGGACATCTTGGAGAATTAACCTGGAGAAAGGAGAATAGGTGACCGACAAAACGATTGGCAAAGGATCTAAAGCTAAAGATCTCATTGCTTTCTCATGAAGTCAAACAGGCGATACGTTTTGACAGCATAGGAAGAAAAAAACAAAGCTGCAACATAAAGCGAAGACAGCAAAATTACAAGGTTCTCTTCGGCTGTAAAATCTGTTTTCTCCTTGTTATGGTGCTACACAGACAGAGTGAATTGTTTTTACTACAGACAGCATGGCTGTCTATCGCTGTTGTATTCTCCACTGGCCTAACCTTACTTAACCATCCTGCTCTTGTTCTCTGAAATGAGGTTTACTGTCAACTGTGTGCATAAATCCATGCAAATGCAGCATACAGACCTAGAGCATCCTCCCTGCTCTTGCTGAACGTCCTGTTTAATCTGTACAACCCTTGAAATGGTCCTCACAGTGACATCCCTATAGGCGCTTCATTGATGGACAAACTTCAGGTTTTACCTTACACATTACAGACTGGAGTGCGTCCACTGACCTGTGTGAGAGCGTAGGTGACGTTTGAGTGCAGTATGGCTGGGGAAGGTCCGGTTGCATTCGCTACAAATGTAGCTGCGAACCCCAGCGTGGACCTCCATGTGCTGCTGCAGAGCCGTCTGGGTCTGGAAACGCTTCCCGCAGAGCAGGCAGAAGATGGCCATGTCTGAGCCTGCAGAGACAAAAAAAAAAAAAAGATACAAGCATTAGAGTTGATGGAAGCTCATGTCAATTGTGTTTTTAAAGTTGTTGCAATGTGTTCAAATATGAGGAATTAATCAACTTAACTACAGTTTCAGCATGCATGCAATAGTTATACTCCTGTATATGCAACAGGTGTTGTATCACAGGCTCAGATATATAACAATTTACTAACTGTTCCTGCAGGGGCTTACATGCTGTATTTATAGGATTAAAGGTGCACAAAATACTCGTGTTTCAGAGCGGGTGTGTAGAGCGATAAAGATCTCCTATGCAATACTTCAATCGAATCTTGACTCCAGCGAGCACTGTGCATTTTTTTCTTCTCCAGCAGAGATAAAGAGCGCACAGTTGCGAGCACACAAACATTAAAAAAAAATCACAAACAGAAGAGACACACACACACAGACACACACTCTGTTTGCACGCTCCCTTGAACACACTCCCTTCACACTTTTTCAATTACCAGGCTGGGGGAAAACTCTGGGGAAGGACTGAGTGTTTGGAGCTCAGTTTCTATTTCATCAGTCAATAACACATCTTTGGGGCAAAGCTGACACTAATTTAAAAATCTATGAAGAGCAGCCCGCCTCATGTTCATAACCACTGAAGGAGGAGGAGGGCCCACGACAGCCTCCGCGCCAGATCAATCACTGTCTCTCGGCTGCTCTGCGCTGCCGAAGACGAGGGATGGAGGGAGGACGCAGCGCTGGAGGATGATGATAGGAGGAGAGGGAGGTAGAGGAGCAGCAGGTAGAGATAGCAGATCCAGTTTGGAGTAGAGGAACGCGGTGCACAAACAGAGGGAGGGGAATAAAAATCTCATTTTGATGCAATTTGGAGAAGAGACATAAATATCGACAAACCTTCACTATCTGACTTTAGCTCCGTCTCTGTGTGGTTGTTTTTTTTTGTTGTTGTACAGGAGAGAAAGCAGGTGAGTGTGAGTGAAGAGTTTCATCAGATACTTGTTGAACACTCATGGCTGAAAACCTGAGATACTAATCTGTCACTGTACAGGTGAGTATACTGCCTAATCTGTTGTTGTCCTATCAACCTTTTCTCGAGACTCCACATCAGGGCAGATTTGACGGTTTTACACAAGAAATAATTATCTGCAGATTTCGGTTTAGAAGGCCTGCTATACTGTAATTGACCGGTCTATGCAGATGTATTTAATCTGATAGTGATTTGCTCGGCCGTAATGAGTTGACCAAAATTAAGTATTTTGATTTTTTTTTAAATATCGGACAGCTGAACAGAGACAGGATTTGTAGTGAGGAGAGAGTGGGGGATGACATGCAGCAAAGAGCCGAGGTCGGATTCAAACCCACAGCCGCTGCGTTGAGGACTTTAGCCACTGTACATGGGGCGCACAACATAACCGCTAGGCTATCAGCTCCCTTTTGGTGAGAACAATTGTCTGTAGGTCTATTCTGTTGGGATCTTATCAATGAAATCAATAAAAATGATTTCCGATGGGGGGACTCCGTTTTTCATGGATACGAGAAGCTCAAAGGAAAAAAGGTTGAGAACTACTGAGAGTGACTCAGAGGTGGAACAAGTAAGAAAAAGATCTGAAATGTAACTGCTGGAAGTCCAGGACCGACAAGATCTTTTTGTATAGTCCGAATTTTACAAGAAACAATAAGAAAAGCAAGAAGAGGAGAAATGTGAGACTGATTTCATCTCTAGTTGAAAACCTGAACTCACTTATTTGAACAAACCAAAGAGCTTTAGTGTCAGTAAGAGATATTTAAAAATTAAGTTTTGACAAATGCAATTTCCCGTGCTCACAAGCAGATTCCTCCTGTGTGTTTTCCACATACAATGAGTAGCTTATATATACACTGCATCCCTTATTCTGTAGAGCTGGACTTTTGCCAAACAGCTGCGGGCCCACTGTGTCTATAACAGTGAATGTAAAACCCTTTATTGACTGGATGTCTTGTTATTGTAATTGGAATGGCAGACGAAAAAAAAAGAGACAGCCACACGTGAAAGTGTTGATTCCCTCAGTTCTACATTTAAAATGTACAGCAGGAAAGAAAGTCAGATTGTACCAGTTTTAGAGAATGTAATATGGTAGTCTACCTATATGTAACTAATGCTAAGCTAGTTTTCTCCTGTGTTGAATTCACTTGCCTGTCCCTTCTTCTGCTCTCTGCTTTTATCAATGAAGAGGGCTATTGACTGGGGTCGATCGCTCCTGGAATCCCTCTAGGACTCCAGGTACTTAAGTGGCTTTGATTGACAGGTGTGCCTCTCTCTCTCTCTCTCTCTCTACCTAGTTTATCTAAGGAGTATCTTTAGGCAAATGCAGAGGATTTCTTCCTGCAGTCCAACTTAAGACCAGATACTTCATGGTCACATTAAAGTCTTAAAGCTACACGCCTTAATGGCTGTTGTTTGGAGAGGGAGAAGATGAGAATGGCTGCGCTGCTACAGAGGCAGAAAAAGAGACAAAGGTAAAGTGGGAGAAGAGTGGAGATAGGATTCAGAGAGGCTTTGAGTAAATAGGAAGAATTAGAGGACAAAAACCCGTTGGAATGTAAAAGGTTATCAGACCTCTGACCTGAGGTCGAAGCTGAGGCGTGGACCAGGTGGAAATATGAACCCCAGATACTGACACACTCTTTGAAAAGAGAGCTGGGAAGACAAAGCTGGTGTACAAGAAAGAGAAGCACCACAAGAAAAAGACTTCTACTTTGAAGTCAGGGTGGTTACAGTGGAGAGTCACATTAAAGTGATGTATCTGTCCGCAAGTACGTTAATGCTTTCAGAGGTGTGTTTACAAAGTAACATGAAACAGCAAAGAGAGTAACAGAGAGGGCAAATGTTTGTGTGACGCAAAAGTCAAACTGTACAGGTGAAAAATAAAGGTGATGAGAAACATGAGGACATCCTATACTCCATTAGTTAGGCTTTAAGAAGCGCCTGTATCAATGTCCATTCAGCAGATAAATACACGGAAATATGTGATGACACACTTTTCCATCTCAGTGAATCACTCAAAAAAACAAACCTGTTGCATTTTTAAAAACTGACTCACTATGTTCAACTCTCTTCCAAACTTTTGAGCAAAATATAGAATTTAGGAAAAAAAAAAGAAAAGAAAATGGTGCATGGAAACCTCTGCTGTGCTATGTTGTTTAACTACGTTTGTATTTCTATTTAACGGTTATTAAACCACGTTTGTCAGGAAACACATATAGTAGGTGAAACTACCATTAAAACACACAGACAAAGAGTTTACAGAGAGACAGCCTGGAATCAAAATATACCAAAATAGTTTTGATGTATGATGATATATGGACACATGATGATACATTGAATGGCTTTGTCAATTAATAGATAGTGATGCCTGATGGGCTTCTAGTTAAAACAGGTCCATTCATAAAGTAGAAACATACAAAAGTTACTGACCAACACTAATGTGCATATCCCAATCACATCTACAAACTCTGCACACTTGTGTACGGCAGTTTGTATCATCCTGGGCCCTCTAATATTATATTTCTATTTGATATGTTTCTCTATTTCTAAATTAATATATATGCATTACTAGATTATTATTATTTTTTTTATGCCTTTATTGTGGAGGAAAGTGGATAGAGACAGAAACTGGGGTGATAGAGAAGGAAATGACATGTTTCAAAGTGCTGATGGTGCTTCAAGGACTGTAGCCTTTATACGCTGGGCGTGTGATATAACCTCTAGTCTATCTGGCATCCATGATGATTCTGATTCTGATGTATATTAGACACATTGCAAACAATTTTACATGTGACAGCCAAAGATGGTGGCTTCAGGTAAATGCAAATGTAGTCTCTAGGAATTTCCTTTCACAGAACTCTGTATTGTAAACCGCTCTTCAACTCACTACCATCTCTTCATGTCTGCAAACAGCAGTTTGTAGTAAAGTAAAGAGTGGACCCTAATTAGAGTGAGACAAAATTAAGTGGTCCAAACTGTACAGTGAGTGCAGTGGATAATGTGTGTGTAAAGTGAGTAAAAGGTGTAGTCGGACGCTGATAGATGAAGAGAGCAGCGGAGAGATAAAAAGGGAAAGAAAGGCCGGAGAAAAGTAGTTGACCCAGGAGGTCCATTACAGTGTAAAATTGAGTCAGCCCAAAGTGACACCTGAACGAAGGAGCTGGAGGAGCTGGAGGAAGAGGAGGAGGAGGAGGTGGTGGTGGGGTTCTTAGCCTCAGTCCTGTTCGGCTGTTTGGGAATAATTTACCTCCTCTAACCAGCCTCTCTCTCCTTCTCCTGCCATCTATTTATAAAGGCTCGGGCAGTTTGTGGCTGTCTGTGTGTGCGCCCGCAGCAGCGCCGGTAGTATCTTAATGGGCCTGGAGTGGCAGGGCTGCTTTTATTTAAGTGGGGGACGGACGGAGGCGGTAATGGAGAGGAATACTGCCCGATGGGAGGTGACAGAGGCCGGATGGGCACAGAGCAAAGAAATGGTCCAGAGGCAGAGGCTGGATACTTTTACTGAATCTGATGCAGAGGCAGGGAAACCAAGCATCCACCGACCAGCTCTGGAAAAAGTCTCAAAAGATATCAGTTATTAACCTAAAGCATTATTTTTTTTAATATGTTATAGTACTCTGTGCACCTGCTCCATGGCTCATCGTTACAATGATACCATGGTCTAAAAAAGAAGTGGACTAAATCTAGATTTGGTCCCACCAGTCGTGGCAGATGGCTGTCTACCAGAGAGTCTACTTCCTCCAAAGGTTTCCGCCTGTAAAAGGAAGTTGTCTTAGCCAAGTGATTTTTAATTGGTGGATTAATTTGGGGTAATATTACAAAGAGTACAGACCTGCTTTCAAGTGTCCCAAGAGAACTGTAACTGTGAGGAGGTACTATGTAAAGAAAAATGGATTGATTGATCATTTCTGTCATTTATCTCCAAAAAGATGAGCTCCAAAATCCAACTACAGGTTTCAAAATCTAC